TGCTGAACCTCTTGATACTGCAGAAAGGCAAGGTAAGGGGATATGAGTTGTTGGTGTTGGTACTTTGGATAGTTGCTGTTGACACGTATCTTTGTGTTCACTGAAATTGCACCTCTCCCAGCGAGCCTCCAGCACCAGTTCAAAATAATGCCTGCAGAGGATCTCCTTATCCCAGGTCAGAGCTGGACTTTCCAACTGCTAATGCTAAGCTGAGGAGCCTCAGAACAGCTGCTTGTGCCTGCAGCTTCCAGATAAAATTTTATTCCTGGGGGACCTGACCTGTCTGGGTCGTTCCCAGCTGGATCCCAGCTTCCAGAACAGGAGGGCTCTTGCACTCAGGGAAGTCTCAGCATGGGTTGGTGCTGCAACCCCCAGAGAGAGCCTGTGAACCCTGGTTGGACGTAGCTGGCTGGCTCAGAGAGGGCTCAGAGAAGTCTGGGATGCAGCTGGCCTACTGGCAGCAAGAGCTAGCTGAGTCTCAGGACACTCAGACCTATGGCGTTCTGTCCTTCATGCCTCCAAGACATGCTAGATTTGTATTCACGGACTTGTGGTCATCACAACAAGCAGACACAGGATTTGTAAGTATCCCCAAACAGACTCAGTGTTTATTTCCACCACTACAAGGTGTGGACACCCAGACAGAGTGATAAACACCATTGTGCATCTCCCCGCTTCGGTTTCCTCACCCATCTGGTGTGAGCTGTTGAATGGACAGAATGCTTTGAAGAGCTCAGTTTTGAAGAGGTTCAGTTTCCGTCCTCACCCAGAAACCCAGAAGAGCTGGTCTGCGCTCAGTGAGGGTCGGCCTTTCGTGCAAGAGAGGCGCAGAGAGAAGAGCCTCCGTGGCTGGGGCACCTGCAGCCTGTGACAGTCTGCTGTTCCCAGCCCTGACAGTCCAGCAGGGACTAAAGAAGACAACATGGAAAAAATTTCCCCATGTGGAACAGAATCTGTATATTGATACAAACATACACGGAGCCCTGAAATGTTGCTTTAAATTACCACGGGGGTGTTCAAGGCATCAAGAACATCTCAAAACTCAAAGGTGGCTGCTCCTCTGTATCACCTGGGAAGAAGGAAGGGAAATAGGACTCTGGCATTTGGCTAATGATCCCAGTCCCAAATAACTCTCATCACAGAGCACGGTCTCATGCGGCCATTTAAAGCAATGAGTCCTCCCCTCCGCTCTCATTGCTCCTGTTTGCTGTGTGCATTCAATGGGAATGAAACTGGTGCTGTCTTTGGGTAGATGAATACACCTGAAAAACCGTTGAGTACAGTGTCAGGCATGAGCCTTCCTGGAAAACAGCATTTTGAGCACTGCCTGACGGATCCGCTTTGTCCTCATGCTGTAAACGATGGGGTTCAGCATGGTGGGGAGGGTCAGGTAGAAATCAGCCAGCAGAACCTGTGTGTGCACGGATACGCTGCTGCCAAACTGCTGTGCGTATATGGAGACTATCCCAGGGATGTAGTACAGCAGCACCACACAGATATGACACCCGCAGGTGCTGAAAGCCTTCCAGGCTTTCTTCCACGATTTCTTCCCCAGGACAGTTTTAAGGATCATCCCATAGGACACAGCAATGAAAGCCATGTCCATCCCTACTATAAGAGAGGACCCAGCCACACTGTAAAGCCTGCTGGGTCTGGGGTCTGTGCACGCCAGCTTTGCCACGGCCATGTGCTCACAGTACGAATGGGGAACCACGTGGGAACGGCAGTAGGGGAGGTTTGTCACCATCCCTGTCAAGGGGACCATGAAAAGGAGAGCTCTTACCACAATGGCCAGGCCTATCTGGGCAATTGTTTGGCGATTCAAGATAGCTTGATACCTGAGGGGGTGACAAATTGCAACGTAGCGGTCAATAGCCATGGCCAGGAGCACTCCCGACTCCTCTGACGTTGTGGAGTGAACAAGGAACATCTGAACAAAACAGGCTATGTAACCAATCTCCACAGAGTTCAGCCAGAACATGCTTAGCATCTTGGGGACGATGGATGTCACCATCACCACATCGATGACTGCCAGCATGCCCAGGAAGCAATGGATGGGGTCACGCAGGGAGTTGTCCAGCCCAATGACAAGCAAAACGATACCATTTCCTACCAAGGCGATGATATAACCTGAGCAGAAAAGAATGCCCAGACAGGTAGGGAAAGCTTCCAGGCTGGGGACACCCACAAGGATGAAAGAGGAGGAGCTGCTGTTGGGGCGGATGAAGGGATCAGAAGCCATGCAGGAGAATCTTGCTTTTGTGCTTAGAAACAGGAGCCTGGTTTTGAGCCCTGAGATGTCTAGAACTAACGGGGATGAGGTGGGGACTCTGTATCGATGCAAGAGCCAAATCAGGAACCCACATTGTTATTATGGCATGTGAGACAGGAGTGCTACAGCTACAGCTAGGGGGAAAGGATCAGAAATGCTGAATAAACGGGGCTGTTATGGCTTGAAAGTTCCTGTCAGACGAAGAAGTTCATGTTTCAAGTTGTGCAACCAGGGATAACCAGGGGACTTTTACAGTCCGTTGCTTGTGAAAAACTTGTTTCTTTGTTGGCTGCTCACCACCGCTCAGCTGGCATCTTGAAATAAGCTGCAAGAGGAGAGAAAAAGATCAGCATCCAGCTTCCCTCAGACAGAACTTTTGCCTGAGCAGCCCTGGCTTCCGTGCCATGGGCCTAACATAGGAAGTTCCTCCAAATCAGTAGGGCAAAAAGTGGTCTCAGGAAGTGCTCTGGGACATTAAGTGTCATCATGAAAATGCCTCTTGCTGCTCTGTCTTCATCCTGTCATTTACCCTTGAGAGAAGTCTGCAAAACTAGGTTACCTCCTAGTCAGCGGAAAAAATTATTTTTTGAGTTTTTTTCTGATTGGAGATGCTTGGAGGTAATACAGAAACCCCAGAGAAGAACCATGGAGAGACAAGAAGAAGAGTGAGTATGGTGGACAGGAGCTACACATCCATTTGTGCCAAAACTTTGCTACTGCTTTTGCTGCTTAAGCTGGAACATTTCCAGGGATGGGGCATCGACCAGCTCTCTGGGCAACCTGGGACAGGGTTTCACCACCCTCATAGTCAAAAATTTCTGCCTTAGATCTAGTCGAAATTTAGTTTAAATTTAAATAAGTTGCTCCTTGCTACCCGTTTTAAAAATGTGTACAATGTTTCCCTTTTTCCAGTCTCCAGGGACTTCACCCGACTGCCAGGACTTTTCAAATATCATGGAGAGTGACTTGGCAGCTGCATCAGCCAGTTCCCTCAGGACTCTGGGATGCATCTCGTCAGCTCCCACAGAGTTGTGCGTGTTCAGGTTCCTCAGGTGGTCTCAAACCTGATCTTCTCTTAGGGTGGGAGGGACTTTGCCCCTCCAGTCCCTGTCTTGCAGGGCATCCCCTCGAGAGGTGTGGGAAGAGACACTGCCAGTGAAGACTGAGGCAAAGAAGCCATTGAGTACCTCAGCCTTCTCCTCATCCGTTGTTACCTGTTTGCCAGGCGTGCTCCTTGGGGGGGGTACGCTTTCTTTGACCTTCCTTTTCTGGCTGACATACCTGCAGAAGCCCTTATTATTATTCTTTACATCTCTTGCCAAAGGTTGCTTATCCCCACGCAGTGGCAAACACCGGGCAGGTGATGACCACACAAGATCCCTGCCTAAGGAAATGATGATCAGCCTGGATGATCATCCACCAGTAGCTTTTTAGCAAGCGGCAAGCTGTGGGGCGGCTCGTGGCTGGCGATACCCATGCTAGTGACAACACGGAGTGAAATTCACCTGTGTACAGCCCCGCTACAGGATCATTTAGGCTAAAATTTAGCATTAGACATGCCTAGTATGGCAGCAGTGAGAAGGAGAAGCTGGACAAGTTCAGAATAGAAATAAAGAAAATATTGGGGGTGATAACTAAGGAAATACAATGCTTGAAGTTTTAAAATAGAGAGCAGGCTTTTGTAGGATTTGATTCCTCCATTTGATCTATATCTTAGCCCCAGGTGTGAGGTTGCTGCAGGAGCCGCTGGCTGAAAAGACTGGTCAGGACAGAAGTGCTTACCTTCTGGCCCAGATGTCTGAAAATCAGGGCATTTTACAGGCTGAAGCAGGATGAAAATTCCTTTTTAATCACTGCACTGCATTGCATGGCACTGACCCCCTGCAGTAACCAGCAGCGCAGGAGCCAGGTGTGACTCCAGGTTGGAGCAGCGAGGTTAACCCCTGGCTGCTTTCACTGACCCACGCTCCCGAGCAAGCCCACATGCCGCCGGTGGCACGGACCAGCCTTTCAGACCAGCCCCTGCTGCAAAACAGAGTTGTGCGCCCTGCGATGGCGCAAGCCCCGCGTTAACATTCCAGATCTCAGTATCCACATGAGACCCAGGGTATGGTCCAGCTGCCTAAAGACAGGTGCCTAGAGCCGTCTGAGACCCCCCGGTGTGTCCCATTTGGCCTCTACTTCCTTTACACGCAGACGGGCGCAGGTCCCTGCAAACCCTGGGTGATGGTCTGCCTCTCCTCACCCTCTCCCAATGGGTACCTTGGGTACCTGGGGGCATCTCAAGTGTACACATCCAAGTAAGGGGCACTTACTCGGGTGACACTCTGAGGGTCTGAGACCCTGTTGCAGTCAGAGAAGAGCTCGACCATGGAGCCTGCAGAGTAACTGACTCCCTAAAGGTAGGGATCTGCCCCAGGGTGAGCCGAGTCTCTCCAGGATCCACTGACTGTCGGGGCTGGATCTCCACTGGCTGTACTCAGTGCTTAGACACCAAGAACTCGTGCACCCGCACATGTGTGGAGACCTACCACCAGGCACTTACGTGTGTCTGAATCCAGAGCTGCATCCCCAGGTACTTACATCCAAGGCAAGAGCATATCTGCTTCCAGAAACTCTCTTCCACAGCCAGTGCCTGGCACGGTATTATTGTCAGTATTGCAGCAGTACTGAAGAATCCCGATCACAGGGACTTCTTGCCCTGCGAGATGGGAAAACATAGCACAGAAGAGCTTTGCAGCCTAAGCAAAGGCTTCTGATCCCAGTCTGCCGAGAAGGATAAAAGGATAAGCGCAGGTATCTGTCTCACCTGTGGGACTGTCACCTGGAGGGCTGCAGCAGTACACCTCTGAGTATCTCTAAGTGCAGCAACGCTGGGGTATTAATCCATCATCTGAAAATCCCCTAAGGGACAGCAGATGGAGGTTGCAGAGATCGGGTTGTCTGTCCTGTGAGGAGATGGACATTTTCAAGCCTGCTTCAGCTTCTTTCCTTATCTCTCCCTGGCTGCTGCTCTGGACCACAGGGTGCAAACACAGACCCTGCCCCAGGCTGTTTGCAAGTGGAGACTGGTCAGCCACACAGGTCAACCCAGACTGAAAACACACACACAAACACAAAGAGCATCAGTGGCCTGATCCTCTTCTACTCGCTGTCTGATTAGGATGGATGCTTTTAGTGGAAATTGTACATACACACATACGATATGGATCCCTCATGGAGCTGTGCTTAGACGCTCGGTCTGCCCAGTAGCTGGCCCTGGGTCCCTGGTGTCCCCAGTTGCCTCATGCACATACACGCAGGTGAACGGCTCTCTCCAGTAGCTGGATGAGTCTTATCGTATCACCAGTAGCCGACCCCATGGTCTCTGCAGTAGTGTAGCTTGGAACCCCTGATCCCTCCAGTAGCAACTTAAACCCTCTGGTCTTTCCAGCGTCCAGCCCAGATTTACAACCTCTCTGATACCTGGCTCCCAAGTCTCAGCTTATTCACTGGCTGGTCCTGCCTGATGTTTGCTGGTGATTGCACACTGATGTACGTACCCACCGCACATGTGTGCACCTCAGTCTCTCCAGGTGCTGGCACCCTGGACTCGTGGGCCCCCGTGGTCCGTGGTCTCCACTCCAGCAGCTGGTGCTCAGCCCTTGGTGCTCACACATGCACACAGATTAGGGGACCCTCACCCAGGGATGTTGTTAGAAATGGAGTTTAATGAGAAGACAGGACGGACCGTGCTATCAGGCACCAGGCATGGACAGACAAGCATGTTGACCAACAGCCTTACATGCGACTGGGCCCTTTCATCCCCTTACCCCTCTGTTTTCCCACACTTGTTTGCCCCCAATCCACCCTGATCCCTCCCATTCCCAGCCTTTGATTCCTCCCCCTAAGCACCCCATAGTGAGTGCTGCACAGTCTCAAAGTGCTCTTCCTTGCATCCCATACTGATTGTCCCCCCACCCGGTGGGCAGTACCCCATGTCACTTTGCCAGGAGGGAAACCCACTGCCATTGACCAACTTGGAGGTCTCACACCCGGTCAAGGGCTGAACATCCTGTGTTCAGTTTTGGTCCCCTCACTACAAGAAGGACGTTGAAGTGCTAGAGCATGTCCAGAGAAGGGCAACGGAGCTGGTGAGTGGTCTGGAGCACAAGTCTGATGAGGAGTGTCTGAGGGAACTGGGGGTGTTCAGTCTGGAGAAGAGGAGGCTGAGGGGAGACCTTCTCGCTCTCTACAACTACCTGAAAGGGGGTTGTGGTGAGGTGGGTGTTGGTCTCTTCTCCCAAGTAACACGTGACAGAACATGAAGAAATGGCCTCAAGCTGCACCAGGGGAGGTTTAGATTGGATATTAGGAAAAATTTCTTTACAGAGAGAGTGGTCAGGCATTGTCACAGGCTGCCCAGGGAGGTGGTGGAGTCACCATCACTGGAGGTGTTCAAAAAACTTGTAGATGTGGCACTTTGGGACATGGTTTAGTGGGCATGGTGGCATTGGGTTGATGATTGGACTTGATAATCTTAAAGGTCTTTTCCAACCTTAATGATTCTATGATCCTGCCTGGGGAGCAGCCGGGCTGGGGCTCTACTGGCTCTGCAGGGGATATCGGCCTTCCCCTGCCTTCCACATTCTTCTGCTCCTTCGAGTTTATGGAAGTGAACCCTTAATCACACAACCCAACAGCTTTGGCACCCAGCAGACAGGGTCCTGCTGCAGATTGCTGCAGGTGGATGGCATCCATGGGTGTCATGGTTTAACCTTGGTAGGCAGCTAAGCCCCACATAGCTGCTCACTCACCACTCCCCCAACTCCTCCGCAGTGGGATGAGTGAGAGAATCAGAAAAGTAAAAATGTGAAAACTCGTGAGTTCTGACAAAGACAGTTTAATAATAAAAAAGGAATCCTTCTCCCAACAACAACAAAGGAAAACAAAACCCATAAAAACAAGTGATACAAAAAATCTAATTGCTCACCACCAGCCAACCGATGTTCAGCCGGTCCCTGAGCAACGGCAGCCCTGGAAAACCTCTCCCCCAGTTTTTATTGCTAAGCATGATGCCATATGGTCTGGGATATCCCTTTGGTCAGCTGTCCCAGCTGTGTCCCCTCCCAGCTCCTTGTGCACCCCAAGGCTCTTTGCTGGTGGGGCAGGGTGAGGAGCAGAAAAGGTCTTGTTGCTGTGCAAACATTGCTCAGCAATAGCTAAAACATCGGTGTGTTATCATCAACACTGCTTTCATCACAAATCCAAAACATTGTCCCATACAAGCTACTATGAAGACAATTAACTCTATCCCAGGTAAAACCAGCTCCACGATACATGGAGAGTGTGTGGGTACCTGCTCCCCAGGGCTGACAGACCTTCATGGAAAGGGAAGGGATGTTCTCAGCAACCTGGTCTGACCCTGTAGGTTACCCTGCTTTGAGCAAGAGGTTGGACTAGAGATGTCCTGAGGTCCCTTGAAGCCTGAGTTATCCTGTGTTCCTGTGATCCCATGGCCCTTACATCTCTTGTGATGGCTCCGCTGCACATACAGTGATATGTTAAGGAAACAGCTATTTTCTGTGGTTGAGCTGCACTAGGTTATTTTGCCAGAACAAGGTCAGGTGGTGGCTGCAATCCTTATTTATGTTAGGAGGTCTGAGGGAACTGGACCACCCAGAGGTGCTGTGCCAATGTCACTGCCGCGTGCTAGGGACAGGTAGGAGAACAAGGGCAGCTGAAGCCCTTGGTGCTGACCTGAGTTCAGTGGGTGCCAGCATTTCCTGGGGCACCTGTGGCTCTGAACGTACACTGAGAACCACACCAAGGTCCAGCAGAGGTTTTGGCCATTCTAGGGAATGGGCTTTGTCTTCATGAGTCCCAGCCCTGTGCCCTGAAGGCCAGGCCCAGTCCCTCCTGCTATGGCTCTCCTCCGGGAGATCGCCTTGCATGCTCCATCACGAATCTGCTTTGTCCTGATGCCGTAGATCAGGGGGTTGAAAGCCGGTGGGATGAGGAGGTAGATATCAGCCAACAAGACCTGGACGTAGGGTGGGAGCTCCTGGTGGTACCTCTCCATGTACATGGAGAGCAGCCCAGGGATGTAGAAGAGGGCCATGATGCAGAGGTGTGAGCCACAGGTGCTGAAGGCTTTTTTGCGAGCTTGTGGGGAGGAGAGGCTGAGCACAGCTTGGAGGATGAGCGTGTACGAGAGGGCAATGAGCAGTGAGTCGAAGCCAACCACATAGGTGGAGATGGAGAGGCTGTAGGTGTTGCTGAAGGTAGCATCTCCGCAGGCCTGCTTGAGCACGGCCATGTGCTCGCAGTACGAGTGGTCCACGACTGCCGGGCTGCAGAGAGGCAGGCGACGAATCTGGAAGGTGAGGGGGCTCATGAAGACCACAGCCCTGAGCAAGGTAGCCAAGCCAATGGCAGCCACAACAGGGCGGGTCAGGATGGACAAGTGCCGCAGTGGATTGCAAATAGCCACGTAGCGGTCAAAGGCCATCGCCACAAGCACCCCCGACTCCACCACGGAGAAAGCATGAACAAAGTACATCTGGGTAAGACAAGCATCCAGGCTGATGGCAGTGGAGTGAAACCAGAAGATGCCCAGCATTTTGGGGGTGATGGAGGTGGACATCACCAGGTCAATGACTTCCAGCATGGACAGGAAGAGGAACATGGGCAGGTGCAGGCTGGGATCAGCCTTTATCACACACAGGAGGGTGCTGTTCCCAGCCAGTGTGACAAGGTACATGATGCAGAAGGGGACGGAGATCCAGTGGTGCAGGTGCTGCAGCCCCGGGATGCCTGTCAGGTGCAGCTCCGACAGCGAGGTGTTGGTGGGACGCAAGTGGGGCATGGTGGTCACTGCAGGAGCCCAAGTGAGGAGAGCTCAGGCACACAAGGACAGCCATACCCTGGGCCACACCAAAGGTCCATCCAGCCTCAGATCCTATGTCCAGCATCAAAAGCAGACCCTTAGAGAAGAATATGAGAAAGGAAACATACGATGACACTTCTGCGTATTTTCCCAGCTTCCAACAATTTGAAGCTCAGGGACTTCCTGGACTGATGTGGTTTTTCCATTTTAAGTAACCTCACCCCAGAAACCCATCTAGCCTCTTCTGTGCAAAAATTTAGCACCCACACCATCTTTTAGCAAGGAGTTTTACAAACTAATGGCACCTTTTGTGAAATAGTCCCTTCCCTTTCTTGTGAGCCTGACTTTTGCTTGTGTCATTTGAGGACCCATAGTTCCTGTATCAAAACAGGCAGAGATGAGTTAGTTGAATCCTTGCTCTTGCTCCACATGCTGCCATGAGACGTGGAAGTAAGTAAACCTCAGACGATGGAAGTTTTATTCCAGACCTGCAGGAGAATTTTTAAGCCCTCCATCAGCACTATTTGATTTCCCGTCTTCATCTCCCATTAGTCTTGCTCTGTATCTAGAAAGATGGAGCTGACAAGCACTTTCTGGGTCACACAGCCAAGTGCTTGTTGCTTTAGGTGTGACAGCTTATTTTACCCAGGAAAACTGGTAGTCAGCATCCTAGGATATTTTGCTTTCATGCATCTGCTGGAAGACAGCTCCAATCCTCCACCCTGCTCCAACAGCTGGGAAATTACCTCTACTTTCCTCTATGTGTTCCCATCCAGTTTCTATCACCTCCAAAATGAAATCTGATTACACTTTTCCCTCCCTGGCATTTGCACCCCAGCATGTCTATAAAGCCACAGAACCCAGCCTGACATTTGCTAAGCAAAAGACCTCCTGCTCCTTTGTCCCCTTTCACAAGACCAGAGCTCTGCTCCTAGTCGCACAAGCAGTTTTCCTCTTTACACCTTCCTTTAAAGCATCTTTGTTGGCCGTGCCTGGTCAGAGTCACACAGATGAGGTCTCACAGAGGGGTCTTGGATAATGCACAACAGTTTGCCCAAGACCACTCTTCAAAGAGCTCCACTTTACATGTGATTTCAATACGCCCATGCTTTTGAGGTCCCGTTGTCCCCATCACCTTCACCTTGGGAGGGAGAGGCATTGGGGTTTCTGTTTCCTAGGGAGGCAACCCGTCTCTTGGCCAGATTAATTGCTGTTTTCCAGTAGGACCTTGCAGGCAGAGTGTGGCACGTCCAGAAAGCATCACATTATCAAGGGTAAATCTTCCCAGGCAAATCTGATTACTTTCTTTCTTGTTGTTTATAAAACGTGTTAGCAGATTAAAGGAAAGTTTCTGAGCAAATCATACTCTCAGAACTGCTTGCTCACTGGAGCACCTCAGGTAGGTTGAATGTGAAGGGCAGGGACAAAGGACCGAGCTGGAGGTCTGCAGACTGAAGAGCATTGTGGTGGGCACTTCATGAAAATAATGGCAAATCAGAGGGAGTTCAGAAGTAAGGGTGAAGTTAAGCTGGAGAGCTGAGGGGACTGGCTCAGCTGGGGAACGGTCTTGAGAAGAGCCTTGAAACACGTTAAAGGCTACAGTGAAATGCAAAGGAATAATTGTCCTGCATGTCCTCTGAAAGGACAAGTCAGGGGTCTAAATCCCAGAAAGACTAGGAGAAATTCAGTCCAGGCTTAAAGAAAATTTCTCTGATAGTAAAGATAGCAACGCACTGATGAAAATAGAGCTGCAGTGCCCAAGGAGATTGATGCTCCATTTTTGCGGAAGACCGAGCAGGACAAAAATCTGTTAGGGATGACCCTGGTACAACCACCTTGTATTGGGAAGGGTGCCAGATGGGATCAGGTTTTGTTCAAAGCTGTTCTGTAAGATTTCTGAAGGTGGTCCATGGAGTGACTGCAGAAACACCTTCAAAAACCAAACACACATGCCCTCCCCAAAAGGGGTTCCCATTCCTGAAAGCATGCAGAATGGAGAAGGAAAGCTATATGCCTGTAGATAAAGTCTACCCTTAAATTTATTCAGTTGTAAAGCAAACTCCCTGAGGTGACAATGTACAAGCTGGTCTGAGAATTTTGTGTTGCAAGAAGCAAAGGTTGCCTAAAATTTTTTTCAAAACTCATGGTGCTTTTTTTAGTAGAGAATGTGGTCAAGAAGCATGGGACTGGAGAGGGCCATGGGGCCTTTTCCAGATTATTTTCTTTTTTCCCCCCTCGTTTTTAATAGATATACTTTTTAAGTTTATAGAGAAAAGACTGCAGCAGCAAATCCTCTTGTGCTGCTTCTGTTTAAAATCCGTGCACCGATGGATGACCTACCTGGCTTGCTGCTGCAGATTTGTCTAGATAAATCAGCAGGTGTACCCAGCTCGCCCAGCCCTGTGCGAGTGATGCTGGCCAGCCCGGCTTCCACCAGGTATGTCGCCTGCTTCTCTCACCCAGCAGCTTTTAGCGGTGGAAGCATTTATAAGTTTGCTGGGAGGAATCCCTGGTGCATCTGTCTCATGGCTCAACAAATGAGTCCACACACATGCACGTGTGCAGCTGACTTGCTCATTTACTGACTAACTTCCTAATTCCATTTGTTTAATTGAGAAGATATTGTTGTCAATCACCTACAGTGCTTATAACCCTTGCAGTAGCTTGAACTCTTCCTCATCCTTTGACCCCACAGCCTTCCAAACACAGGTCCCTGAGCTTGGCATTGACAACTCCCTCTTTTCCAGATGCGAATGAGGTCTGGGTCTCCTTCCATGGTCTGTGTGACCATGAGATGGAGCTCCTGGCTTTCTCCATCCTGTCAGAGGCTGTGGGCCAGGGGAGGGATGTCCTGTCCCACACTTGTGCTTTGCATCCTCTAAGGCAACAGCAAAGAGCGCAGCTAGACAGAAATCATGTGGCAGACCAAATCTGGCCACTTTGACCTAATTGAGACTAATTTTGTCTAAGTCTCCTTCTGCAAAGCCAGGGTTTGCCATTGAAACCCCCCTGACCAAAAAGGGCTGGCACTGAGTGGTGAAAGGGCGGCTGAAAGCAGTGGTGTGACAAGGAGAGCACAAGGAGAGCTAGGATGGTAAGTCAGTATGTGGTGTGAGGAGATGAGTTTTCATCGTAGTTGACATCAGGTATATGTTTGCTGAGGAGAACAAGAGGAGCTTAGTCCCTGTTCTCTGTTCCCCTACTTTGACCCACACTCCTGCTCCTTGCCTCCAGTGCTCAGAGGTGACCCTCCTACAACAGCCCCGCGGGCTTTTGTTTTAGTTTATGGCCCTGTCCTTTGCACAAGGAGATCTGCATACAGCAAAGGAGCCTTGTGCAATTGCACTCTCCAGCTGCTCTACGCACCCCATGACAAACAACTCCCGCTCTCCCTTACACAACACTGCGCCTGAGCGTTATTTCAGGGGAAGGCGTGACGTGTTACCTGATGTATTACGCTCATGCAGTGCAGCACATGCAGGATTACATGGTGAACAAAGAGGAGGGACGGTTTGCTAAAGCACCAAAACCACAGGAGCAGGATCTCACAGGAGTTCGGAGGCAAGTAAAGACTTACAAAAAACTGGAGCTTCTCAAAATCCAATTACAGGTGCCCATATGCTCAGGGAAGAGACACTACAACATCAAAAGTTAGGGAGTCTTGTTAAAATATTGGGAGTGTCCTGGTTTCGGCTGGGGTGGAGTTGTTTTTCCTTCCCGGTACCTGGTATAGTGCTGTGCTTTGGAGTTGGTACGAGAATGATGCTGGTAACACACTGAAGTTTTGGTTGTGGCTAAGTCGTGCTTGTACTCAGTCAAGGACTTTGCAGATGCCCGTGCTGTGCCAGTGGGGAGGTGCACGGGGAGCTGGGAGGGGGCACGGCCGGGACAGCTGACCCAGGCTGGCCAGAGGGATATTCCATAGCATATGACGTCGTGCCCAGTACATAAACTGGAGTTGGCCGAGGGGCGGGAGTCGCTGCTCGGGGACGGGCTGTGGTGAGGATCGCCGGGTGGTGAGCAATCGCTGGATTGGGCATCACTTGTTCTTGTACATTCCTTTGTCGGTATTACTATTGTTGTTATCATTGTTGTTTCCTTCTCTCTTGCTGTCCTATTAAACTGTTTTTATCTCAACCCACGAGGTTTTCCCAATTCTCTCCCCCCTCCCACTGGGGGAGGGGGAGTGAGCGAGCGGCTGCGTGGAGCTTAGTTGCCGGCTGGGGCTAAACCACGACAGGGAGAAAATTTTGTAGAACAACATTTCATGACTGATGCTGTTTTGGGGTTTCTAATCAATGACATAGTGGGATCGAGGGCACCCTCAGCCACTTTGCAGATGACCCCAAGCTGAGTGGTGCGGTCGACACACCTGAGGGACGCGATGCCATCCAGAGGGACCCGGACAAGCTCAAGCAA